CTTTTTGCCAATTAACGGGAGGTTTATTTGGGGAGACCGAACCCAGGGCTTCCAGCTTGCTAGGCAAGCGTTCTATTTCTTGCCAATTAACAAGTTTTAAGAAACCTGCTTCTGGGCTGAGGAGATAGCTCAGCAGAATAAGTGCTTGCCTGACAAGCTCAAGGTCCTGAGTTCAACCCCCAGTACTGTAAAACAAACAAACAAAAAACAACAACAAAAAAAACCCCACAAATAAAAAAACCAAAACCCTGCTTTTACACAATTAATAAAATATTTCTAGACTGTACAGGGGAGAAATACTTGTATGAACCCCAAATTACAGAATCATAGACTTTTTGAGCTATTAGAGGCTTAAGACATAATGTAGTTCTGTCAAGTTATTTTACAGAAAAATGAGGCCCCCAAACTGAAACATATTCATATTAATAGCACATACTATTAAGAACGTGCTGGGGGCCAGGGAGATGGCTCTGTGGAATAAGCGTTTCCCTGGCAAGTGCAAGGGCCTGAGTTAAATCCCTGGTTCTACCTCCCCTGAAAAAAAAAGAATGTGCTGATAATCTGATGGTAACAGCTAAGCTGAGCAGACAAGATGGTCAACATGCTAGGCATTATCCTGAATGTTATTTGTGATGTCACTGAATCATTATGGCCACCTCAAATATACTGCTATTTCTCACCCTCCCCACTTGGTACAGGGTCTGGCCACAAAGTTCACACTTGTAGTGATCCTGTCTCAGCCTCTCCAGTGTTGGGATTACAGGCATGTGCCACCATGCCTGCTTTCAATGACCAGCACATCATGGGGTTCTGAGGCTGGCAGGACACACGGTACTGGGGATTGAACTCTAGTCCTTGCGTTTGCCAGGCAGGTGCTTAGACCACTGTGCTATCTCCCCAGCCTCTGAATGCTTACATTTAAAAAAATATATATTTTTTTATTGAGAAAATAGCAATGAGAGTTTCACAACCAATTACTAGCACATTTTCACTAATTGATACATTGCATATTGTTGTCTTAGTGGTTATTCATTGTATAAGATGCAGACCTGATCTCCTGCCTCAAATACTATTAGATCAACCCTCTCTTTTCATTGAATTAAGAGAATGGAGCTGTATATCTATCCTAACTATTGAATGCTTAAATTTTTAAAATTTACAGTAAGACACACTGCTATTACTCCTCCTCGAAATCCTCATCATTTTGAACACACCCATCATTTTTGCCAATTTCTTTTTTAAAAAATGTTATTTTAAAGGGGAAAGAAACAAAAACAATAAGAACAAAGATTTTTGCCAATTTCAGAGCAATTCTGAAAGTCTGCTTTCAAGTCTTCATAAGGCATGATAAAAAATATGGTGAACACTATGGTATCCTGTTTTAATGAAAGACAGGCTCATAAATATACTATGATCCATTCTCATCTATCTTATTCACGGGATCTAGCACCATATGACTTCTGGCTTCTTCCCAAAGTCATAATGACAAGAAAAGTACAAGTTATACACTGATTTAAGACATTGAGGCAGTAAGGATAGTGCAACTAAAGACAGGCATGAAGGAGAACCACTAGAACTGCCTCAGAGTGACAAAAGTGGGATAAGTGGGTTCAAAGCAAGGAGAGTATTGTGAGGCAGAATAATAACAATATATCTTTCACTGTAACACATTTTAAAAATTCTATTTATTTATTTATTTAGCTGGCCCAAAGTCTTGATACACAGTTCAGACTCATAATGATCCTCCTGTCTCGGCCTCGTCAGTGCTGGGATTACAGGTGTATGTCACCACACCCTGTTTCAGGGTCAGCATGGCCTGTGGTATTGGGGATTGAATCCAGGTGCTTGTGCTTCTCAAGAAGGCGCTTAGACCGCGGAGCTATCTCCCCAGCCCTGTAACACATTTTAAAAAGTATAAACATTCACAGCATTTTTTAAAAATCATGTCACCTAGTATAGATGTATTGCTGAATATTTGACCAAGTTTCTTTTTACAGACTCAGAACTAGTTAATTAAAGTCAAGATCATTAAAGGCTCAGTAGTATCTCAGAATTCTTGTCAGAGTGTTACAAATATCTGCCCTGGTTAACATTTTGGGAAATTTTGGTGGGGAGGAGTACTGGAAACCAATCTTAGGACCTCCTGCTTCCCAGGCAGGCACTGCACTGCTGAGCTATATCCCTAGCCCTGCGTTCAATAGTTTAATGATTTAAGACATGTAAAGCAGGTTTTGAGTTCAAGGTTGGCCTGCACTATATAGAGCGACCCTGTCTCAAAAAAAAAAAAAAAAAAAAAAAAAAAGACATGCAAGGATTTACATACACTTATCAACATATACAAAATTGGGAGATGGCTAAGATGTTAAATAATGTAACGTCATCACTAATGAACCATAAAAATCAAAAAGCAAAGCAAAACAAAACACCTAGGTTGGATGTGATATGGAGGCAAACACCTGTAATCCTAGGACTCTGGCAGGCTGAGGCAAGAGGATCACAAATCTGAGCCCAGACTGGTTGACCGTGTCTCAAAATAAAAACATGAAAAATGGGATGGAGATGTAGCTAGGTGTTAAGGCCCTAGGTTTCTAGTACTGTAAAGAAAACATTAAATTCAGTAACAACAGTAATCCTTTAGAGCCTTGTTTTACACATACAATTAAAAAAATTCACTTTTAAAAAGGGAAATATAATGACATTAAATTAAGTCTGCTTGAAGAAGATGAGACATTTCAAACAGACAAGGTATGATCACAGAGTAATGAATGGTTCTTGTAGTGAGTGCAAACATTCTATAAAGATGTAGGGAACGAGAGGAAATAACAGCAGTTCGTGTAAGTGTAGATGATCTTTCCATGGCAATCCTCCTGTTTCAGCCTCCTAAGTGCTGGGATTATACTCATCTGGCTTGAAGATTATTTCAAGTACTTCTAATACTTTGCTATTATGAAAAATGCTTCAGCAAAATACTTGTATGCATGCCTTTATGCATATATGGTTACTTCTCCAGAATGATACTCTAGAATTTCTCTTATTAATATGGCCAGGCTGTCTTCCAGTGTAATTTTGATATACTGTCAAAAGACTGTGGATGATTTATTCATTTGCATATAATAATGTCTATTTTCCCACATCCTCACCAATATATATATAATTAAAGTTTCTAATTTTTAGC